ATGTTGATATATATCTATCTATATACATACCTATATGTATCTATATACATACATATATATATAGATACATATAGGTATGTATATAGATACATATAGGTATGTATATAGATACATATAGGTATGTATATAGATACATATAGGTATGTATATAGATACATATAGGTATGTATATAGATAGATATATATATATATATATACATATGCACCATTACAAAACAAAAAAATGAGGTAGATTCAACTTGTCCCCATGGAGAAGAAAGGATAATGAAGGAGGAGGTGTAGTATCAACTATGACATGTTTAGAATTTCTGCCAGTGGTAGCAAAAAAGTGAGCAGGTCCATTGCCTTCTCTGCTAATATGCTGAAATTTCACACTCCTACTGCCCAATGCATTCTTCAGTTTGTTGATCCACATTCCTATATGCCATGGGGGTTCCACCTCATTCTGCAATATTCTTATGCAAGTGATAGAGTCAGATTCCACATTAATTGCCTGATTTTACAATGAAATGCAAGCATAATGGCCCAAAAGATTGGAATCATCTCAGCCTCCGAAGCATCCAGTGCCCAAGTTGGTGAGGAAAATAAAAGAACACACAACCCTTGGGAGTTTCTAAACACTCCCCCAAACCAGCAGATCCCTTAGAAAAGTTACCATCAATGTTAACCTTCATCCGTCCAATAGGGCGAGGAGATCACAATATCAAAGAAAACTTGAAATTTGACTAATTTTTGCTTTGAGGTGCCCAATTTCTGAAGAGATTAGGGAACTTGTGATGTTGAGTGATTTTCTGTATGTAAGATGTGCAATTAGTGGTAACAGATTTAGGCAGAGGTAAAGTATCCTCAAATTTAGCTTGATTTTTATACATCCACATAAACAAAGCCACCACACAGGGGATACCCAGGAAATTAATCTCCTACCAATCTCTCCAGCATGTTGAAAATTTATCCCAACACAGGGTGAGGGTGTCAATTTTTAAATATGCCACTAGATCAATCCAAACTCGTTGAGAAAAATTACATTTGAAGAAAAGATGATCAAGTGTCTCCTCCTCAACATGGCAAAGATAAAAGCAAGAAGGACCTCTAAGACCTTTCATTTTAAGGATATCATCTGTTGGGAGCAAAGATTGCCAAAGCCTCCATCAGAAAAATGACATTGAAGTAGTCAATCACTGACCCCAGATTTCAGTTCCCCAATGAACAATTGGCAAGTGAATAAATTTTTGATAGATATATGCTGAAAATTTTTGTGAGGGAGCTTTTTTGGTGATGATCCTATCACTTTGACCAGGATAGGAAGGAGTATTCTTTACCAGCTGTAGTTGATCATTATTCAAAATGGTATGCAACAGTCTAGAGTTCCATTGCTCATCTGACCAATAATCCTTAACCATATATTTGAAATTGGGTTTAGAGTTAGAGCACAATACTTTATCTCCATTCCAAGTCCACCTGTCTAACCAGAATTTGATTTGACCTTCTCCCAACTCCCAAATGAATGTCTCCTCAGCTTATTGTCTGACTTACAGAAGCTTGCCCCAAATCCCAGAGTCTCCCAGCTTTTTGTTAACCAAATTAGGGTGTACAAATCTACATTACTTCCCCATCATAAAATGTGCCCATAGAATATCCTGGGCTCTGAATTTAATCCATAACTTGCATAAATTAATGAAGCTAAGGTGTTGAAAATCTTTAAATCCCAAACCTCCAGCAAAGTGAGGTTTGCATAATTTTTGCCAAGGAAGCCACTGAACTTGCTTCTTCTGGCCAGCCCATAAGAATTTATTAAAAATTATCCCAAAAATTTTTTAGTGCCTTTCTTCATAGTAAACATTTGAAGAGCATATGAAGGAATGACAGTGAGAATGCTCTTTAAAAGTGTGATCCTCCCTCCATTAGAAAGGAATGAATTAGTCCAACATTGAAGTTGGGATTTAATTTGATCAATAACATCATTAAACTGAATTTGCTTTGTTCCTCCCTTAATCAGTTGAACCCCAAGATATTTGATAGGTAAAGAGGATAAGCTAAATCCAATATAATTGGATATCCAGTTTTTTATCTATGGAGAAATTTTAGAGCAAACAAAAATTTGGCATTTTGGTTTGTTTAACTCCATACCTGAAGTATGCTGGAAGTGTTTAAGGCCCTTATACAAAGTTTTTGTAGCAATTTTAGTGGCATTAGAAAAGATTATCACATCATCTGCATAGGACAGATGGCTGATGCACACATTGGATTTATGCTGATAAGCCAAAATTAAGAGAGGTTGAGAACATCTGATTTAATAATTTGGATAAGTAGTCCATGGCCAGAATGAAAATTATGGGGGATAAGGGATCCCCTTGCTTGATCCCCCTAGAAGCTGAGAAGAAGCCATGGCAATTGCCATTAACAAGTACAAAATGATTATTACATTGAAGCCATCTTTTAATCAACAAAATGAAATCCTCAGGAAAACCCCATGAAGCAAGAGTTTCAAAGATGAAAGCCCAATTAATTGTTTCATAAGCCTCATTGATATCCAATTTGTAGATAACATTACCTTCCCTACACACTTCCTGTCCAAATCTAATAGAAGTTCTTGTGCTAGCGAAATGTTATCAGATATGGTTCTCCCTTTAACAAAAGCTGCTTGATTAGAACTAATAATCCGTTGAAGGTGGGGTTGAAGTGTGGAGACCGAAACCTTGCTGATTACTTTGGATATAACATTTGTCAAGCTAATGGGCCTAAAATCCCCCTATTCTTTTCTGATTTGATTTTTTGGAATCAAAGTAATGGTAGAGGAAGTAAAATATCTTGGTGGATCAATACCTCTGAAAAAATTTTGAACAGCTGAAATGAATTCCTCCTTAATAACAGTCCAGGAGACCTTATAAAAATTGGCAGTGAAGCCATCAGATCCAGTTGCTTTGTGCTCATCAATGGAGTTAAGATCAGCTTTAATTTTAAGCTCAGAAGGGATCTGAGCAAGTTGCAACCTGTTAACATACTCTTGACAATCAACAAAAATAGTGGCATCAATATTAGATCTAGTAAAAGGATGGAAATTAAATAAGTGTCAAAAGTAATGGACAACATTTTGAGCAATTTCCTCAGACCCAGTTAAACTCTTCCTTTTAGAATCTTTAATTGCAAGAATCATATTACATTTTCTCCTGAACTTAATGCAAGCATGGTAGAAGCTTGAATTTTTGTCCCCCTCAATGAATTTAGTAATAGCTGCCTTTTGCTTTAAAAATGCTCCAGTATAAGTAACATGTGTAAGGAGTTATTCATTTGCTCTATATAGATCCCTTTCAGACTTTAAGCCTTTCTGAAACTCCTCTTCAATCCTGAGAACCTTCCCCTAGGAAGTTGTTAAATCTCATTAATATTCCCAGAAGTATACCAATTCCACCTCTTTAGATGATTGGCCACTTTCTTTTGTATATGTCACGGATTCTCCCAAGGACCTTTATCCTCACTAAAATGCCAAGCTTTTGTAACTTCACTAAGGAATTCAGGGTGGAGAGTCAACATATTCTGAAATCTGAAAAAGATCCTCCTGAGTTGGTAGTACTCTGAATGGAGCAAAGTAAGGGTCCATGGAAAGTTTGAAGCCAATTTGAATTCCCCAACATTCTTTCAAGTCTTTCCCATAAAGATTCCC